ATGTTTTCAACACGAATACCACTTTCATGATGGTGTTCGGATATGGATAGAACCGAAAGCTCAACTGGGGTTGTTGGGAACAGAAATGGACTATGTTACTGATAGACTGAGTTCCGAATTCGTATTCCGAAATCCGAACATCAAAGGCACGTGTGGTTGTGGAGAATCGTTTAGTTTATGACCGCAGTCTTGTTAGTCAGTATATTGACCAGATGTATGATTGAAGTAGAGTAGGGATATATGCTGTAAGCTAGTTTAAACGTCTACTGGTACTTAGGATCCGATTCCGTGACGTGATAGGATCGTTTGTTTCTCTGTGTCTCTTTCATGGACACTATGCCTCGTTCGCACCTCATTATCTTACTTTCCTACTAGGTAATTAGTCCGTAGCCCATTATGGCGAGCGCTATTTGGCGTACGCTCTTGTATAAATTGAAATAGACTATTATTCTGCATATTTGCATGAATGTATTGTGTGAGTAAAGATTTATCGTAATTTTGGCTTATTGTGGTTGTCCATACGTGCATGTGTCGTGAATTATCTTACTTTATTTTGAGTACTTTGTAATTTCACTCTGATATTCTGCCCTCCTCTTAGAAATGGCTCCTAGCGACGCATCAAAAAGGAATGTAAAGAAGGCGTCGAAAATGTCAAATCCTGTCGAAAAACTTCAGTGTTTACCGGCTCATGAAGACAGGAAGACTGTTGATGGGTAAGGTTTTATTTGTTCGAGAATGATTTTGTTAATTTTAGGAAGGCTTATTGACTGTTTGAGTAGTGCGTTGTGGTTTTAATCTATTTTTCACAGAAAAATAGCTTCACCAAAGTGTTCATCCATCCCATTGTGATTATACGAATGGGCACGTCCTACCGTTGGGGAAAATGTTTTTACAAAATGCGACCTCCCCTTCGGAATTTCTTCCTCTGGTAACCACCCCTCCCCATACCTTTCCTCGTCCTACCTAGCAACTTACGAAGTTATCTCCATTCGCACTATTTCTACGGAGTTCTTTTTGAAAATTGCTCCAGTTTTCCCCAGAAAACTGCCTTTGAGCGGGGGATATTTAGCGCTCGTGAAACGAGAATAACTCAAAGTTGTAAACAACCGAAAACATTTTAAAAATTGCTCATACTACTCCTCTTTATGACAGTTTAATAAGATGTGTTGCCTCTTAATTCTAATTAGTCTGATTTATAGCACATAAGGGCTCTGACGGGTAAAGGGTCAGTCTCCCCGCAGTTGATCCCCGCCCATGGTGATAGTAGCTGAACTCTTTCTCAGTAGTCACTGTTCCGTATTGTAATATTTAACAAAATATCGAAATTGAATTTGCCCTAACATCTTGGTGGGTACTGCCTCGTGGCCTGAGTGAGATATGGGCGCCACAGTCAGCGCCCGGGAAGCCCATCTTTCGCACGTTTTGCTGTTGTTCATTGTCTTGTCGAGCCATCAAATGGAGATTTTTTAAATCTGATGAAGCCACGGAGTGATAACAGTCAACGCTTATAGAAACTTCTCGTCAACTCTTGTGAAGCAGCAAGCAGACAAAGGGAAGTAGCAAGTGTGCAAAATGATCCCTCCACCCTCCTCCCACCCCTCGTCACCAAACTGCGCTTAATTGCTTACTGCCCTTAGGTGTCTTTGAGCGCTTCTTAATAAAGAAGTCCTTTTGAGGATTGGGAAAACTTACTATACTGAGTGGTCGTAAAATATTCCCCCCCCCCTCGCTTGTTCAGAATGCTGAGTTATGAGCAAAAGTCGTACCCAAGGCGGGCGTCGAACCCGCACCTCACGCTTTCCGCGCGAGGCTATCCACTACGCGTACGCAGTGAAACTGCTTGTAAAACAGCGTTCGCCTTACAAAACAAATTCTCCACCATTTCTTCGAAGGTTGTTTCTTAGCACGGGCTGAGTTTATGAGCAAAAGTCGTACCCAAGGCGGCGTCCGAACCGCGCACCTCAGTTTTCCGCGCGGACTATCCCCTACGCGTACGCCCGTGAACTGCTTTCAGTAAAACAGCGTTCTTAACAAAAATTCTCCCACCCACATCATTCTATCCGAGGCTTGTTTCTTCACGCGCCTTGATCGTTATTTCTCAAAATAATATGGTGTTTGGAAATTTCGAGCATAACAATGGGTAGCATTACCGTTGTACCGCTCGGTGAGGTAATACGGAGGAAAACTGGTTTAGCCTTAAATCCTTCAGAGAGTTGATCACATTCGAGACGTACTGGGCTACACATCTTTCGGATGAGCAGTCAACATGGGTTTTCGACTTATTCAAGCGGAATATGTTTCAACTGTGAGTTTTTGCGATCAGTTGGCTATATGACAGCGAAGTAAAAGCTAATCCCTACAGTCTTTGGAATAAGTTTTTGTACTACTAGATAGTTACTGGACGTACACTCTTGTCTCCACGCCCCCCTGCATGCGGGCGTGTCAAGGGGATGGGTTTTGGCGGCGGTGTCAGCCCACTTCTTTCCTGTTTCGTCCTGCCCGGCGACAAAACTGTATCATTGTGGATCATATCAGATCGCCTTCCTCTTCCTTGTTGTCGCTCACCAGCGATGGATATGATGGGCTGGTGGCGCGCCGAACTAGCCTGGCTGACACGCCTTATCATCCACAGCGTACAAGACTTTAGTGGATTGGAAAGGAATGGACCCCTTCTGATTACAGTAATAGTGGGTAGTGGTTTACTTTTCTGATTTTCAAACTAATCTAGGACTTTCCAGGTATTCGATGTCGCAATGGGGATGGGATCCGGAATCGAAGAAGGCTGAACTTGGTGCAACTACCGCTCGGTAAATAATTCCAGTAATTGCGAAGTAGCTTCGTCGAAACATTTTTTCAGGTTTATCATAGCTAAGAACGAGAAGGGGGAGCCCATCGGTTACACGCACTATCGTTTCGATATGGACCATAACAGCTCCGTACTCTACTGGTCAGTGTACCTTTACCGAGTGGTTTGCAGCTTCAAGGGACTCTTGCAAAGTCGATTTTACCGTAATGCGCAAAAAAGGGACCACCTTATTGGAATAAAGCCAATTTGGGTTTAGCGCTCATTGACATATTTCCTTTGCAGTTACGAGATTCAAGTGGAAGAAAGATATCAGAAGAAAGGTGTGGGAACGTTGCTTATACAAACTCTTGAAACGTTAGCTGAAAAGTTCGTTTCTCAAAAACTCTTTATTTGTTGACTTGTCAGTGGGTAAGAGCTGCTTTTTATTCATTTTTTCAATTTAGGACGGGTATGGAGAAAGTGATGGCGACGGTTTTCGCTTTCAACGAAAAGTCATTGGGTTTCTTCCATAAGTTGGGTTATGAAACGGACATCTCATGCCCAGATGAAAATCAGGGTCGTGATTACCTTATACTCAGCAAAGCGGTTGTTTGAACACGGGTTTTCATATCGATATTGTACAATTAGGCTCCATTTACAATTTTTGATTAGGTCATTTCGCCTACTAATTCCATTTTTGTTGTGAATATCCATCTCTTTCATGTTTATCACTGCCGAGGTACCAAATTTCATCACAGTGGCTTTGTGTAGGCAGAAATATAGCCTCCGTCACAAAAATGTGGTAAGTGAACAAAGAACGCGACATGTGCAGTTCATATCGCGGCCCTGAAAGGGGCGCGTCTACGGATTTGGTTCGTGGACGGCGATGACAGTTGGCGGAGCTAGCGGCTCGGCCGGATGGGTCGTCAAGAGCATTGACGTTTTCCTAAGCCGTCCCTGCAAATGCTCCCTAGATCTAACTGAACCAGCGACTGTCCAGCACTCTTACGACTGAGTACGTAGACACTCCCCTTCCAGAGCCGGGACATGTACTGCTATGATGTAAGCATTTGCTACATTCTCACCTACAACGTATTGCAAGGTGAACTTTTATGTAATGGTTACTTCAATTTGGTGCTGCACTGAAGGTGCTGTTGTGATTGACGTATGCCAGGTGTACCCTGTAATTCCCAGGCCTACCTCTAGACTAGCTCGCTTGCAGTGCATTACTACCTGCACTTGGTTTTCTCAGTATTCTTTACCGCTCAGATCTTCAATTCAAATTCCGGTAGTGCCCCACTTGTTCGCCTATACCGTCGTGCATTTTTTATACTGTTATGTTCCAAATGTTCTAGCCTTGTGGAATAAAATCGTCCAACTCTGTGGTCTTATAGGCTTAGGTAACGCATTGGAAAGCCATGCTCTGGAAGAAGATAGCCGCGCCCGTTTTCACTGCGGATATAACTCATACAAAACTTTTTGAAACTCATATTTAATACTAAATATTACTCAGTACTAAGAACGCTAGTTTTTCGGCATTTCTGTCTTGTCGGTTACGTCACACAGATACACTATTGAATGGGCTTTCATATAATAGTACGCTTTACTCCGCTCTCGGCGACTCTGCCCATTTATTAGAGAATTTATTGGGACCTTTGCATCATTATAACTCCAGTCACCGACATCCTTTTCAGCGCACTTTTCACAGATATATCTTACACATAGAGTGGAACGGCCAGCTGACTTACACCAAGCCCCACCCCTTTGGCCACGCCCATTTTGAAACATGCTTCTTTTTTGCAGAATTTTAAGTTTTTTTTCTGCGAGTTTTAAGCTGTTCACCTTCTAATAACAATCCATATCTGAGGGCAAGAAGATGCGTGGCTGCGAAAGCGGCGATGAGAGTCAGACGCGAAGAGGTAGGCGAAGCCTGTAAAGCGGAGGAGAATGCCCGCGCCATTGCCAACCGTCATCCTTTTTTTTGCCCTTCGATATGGGCTGAAGTTATCATCAAGCTTGGAGCGAAAACCGTGTGTTTATAAAAATCTTTGTTAAAGCCGTATTCACAACATCGCGACTCGTGCCATTGTGTCGCGCGAATGAAGTCGCTTGAGGCTAATGCCGTTTGGACTCCAGCAACTTCGGCACCGAGCTCATTTTTAAATTGCCTAAGTTACCAAATCCGCTAAAAACTTGTATGTAGGGGTAGTTTAACATCCTGGTTACGAATATGAACATTCACTCCTTGGCTGCTGACGCTAATGATGAACATAAATTAAGCCTGCGCTCCGCTAAGGCTGAGCCCAGAGGTAATCGTAGTGTCATCCCTTGGCGCCAGCGCCAAGAATGAGTGTCATAATTGTAATCAGGATGGTAAATAACCCTTGTGTACATATTTTCAGCGGGTTTGGCGACTTAGGTAATTTAAAAATGAGCTCGGTGCCGAAGTTGCTGGAGTCCAAACGGCATTAGCCGTCGCTTGATGGCGGAGCGGAATATGAAAGTTATACTGGTTCTGATGGAGAAAAAATCGAGAGTTCGTGAATTTTCGGCAATTCAATAGAACCTCAGAAAAGATCCAGTCCATATCATGAACTTGAAGAGGAATAATCATGGACTTGGTCGCGGGGCGCTGGCGGTGGGCATTTGCTGCTCTACCCAATGACATTAACAGTACTGCATAGGAGAGCACAGACACCGTCGATGCACCTCTCACTCTTTGTATGGCCTGCCTGTTGCACAGGAAGGGAGTGCAAGGACTTCGTGAATTTGCCGCTTCAGTCGCGCGCGGCAGTGGGATGCGACGTTTTCTTAATTTGGACATGTACCCTTTCGATTGGAGAGCGGATTTTTATGAGCGGACAAGACAGTGGTAGCTCTTATTGCCTATTTTTGGCGAATAAACGATTCTTCTTGGCCAACATACCCTTCACAGACACAGGCGTGAAGCGTGTCCGGCGTGACCAGTTTGGCTCAGCGCCAGATCCGTTCTTCACCGATCATTGTGAGCGGGCAAGCGACAACAGTTGTTGGAAAACGACTGGTACGGACGACTGATACCGTCTCATGGCTTTCTCGCTCCAACAACTGGTAGAAAAACGAGAGAAGGGCAAGAGAGTCGTAACTTGCCGCTCGCGCCGCGCGAGTGGCGATGAACGCGGCGTTTTCCTAACTCGTTTTCACCTGTCGACTGGAGCATCGGGCTTCATGTATACCCCGTCACCGTCACCGTGACATTCATGACTATTTTCGGTTCGCTGTCGCCATCTACTACCTGGAACCATCGTCATTTGCTGTCGCGACGTCGCACGCGACGCCCTCCAGCGCGATGAATTACGATTCTCTTGTCACGTACCCGTAGAAAACGCCCCCCCCCTCTCCTTCTTCAAGCATATCCCGCCTAACAATCCTCTTCATCCGCAGCGAACGAGACTGTACTGACACAGTAACACGAATCATTCCTGTTAGATCTTTATTTGAAAGCGCAATAAACAGTACCGAGTAACGGATTCTTTAGCCAGAAATTCAGATATGGCGTACAGAGGTTAGTAAATAAAGTGATTATATGTTGTGGCTAATTTATATATTTTTTCAACATTTCAGATTAAAATCCTTTAGTGATCTTATGATAATTCTTCTTGAAAGTTTCAAGTGCTAGATCGAGGCTCTGTGGCAGACATCCAGTTTTGTGGAGAAAATTCAAAAGCACTTGATGGACATAGAGATACTGCTGTTCATTCTGCAACAGAGCTAAATGATACAAAAAAGGCGCTGTTTGGATTGGGGGGGGGGGGCGAGGGAGTCTCGCGTTCTCTTTCGGTCCTTCGGTTGCTAAATAATGATTGCGGTGAGGAAACTACAGTCGTTATCATTGGAATCACTCGGGGCGGGTCAGCACTACATGAGTTTTGGCGCGCGCCATCCCGTTTTTTCATCGATCGCTGCGGCGACTCGATTGGGATGTCGAATGAATGGTGGGGAAGAAACTGGCGCCGCACCAAAACACAGGCGCCGCCGACACGCCCCGACTGACTTTAGTGATAACGACTATACAACAGGGTGAGTGTGTACCTGTATGCTGTTACTCCGTTGAGTTCTGATCTCTTCGAGATATTGGCTCATTGAACGGAGCTGTTCACCCCTCGCAAGGACTTCCATGGCATATTGGAGCAAGACAATTGATCCAGTTCTGCCAATACCTGCTGAGCAGTGTACAATGATGGGCGCCCTGGAATCAATGAGTATTGGCTGATATCGACTTGCTGATAATCTT